TCAGTAATTTCACTTAAATGGCAATGACTTTTTTATTTAAGTGAAATTACTGAACTTAAATATACAAGTTTGATAAAAATCATCATTAAAGAAGAAAATTTCAAATGGCATTTAGAGGCTTTTGCATCTGAACTCTTCAAATGCTGATAAATATCAAAAATCAGTTTTCCTTTACATGAGATTTCTATTTAAAGTTTCATTAATTGCATGTGCACATCAAATATGCTGGCCGGGTAGCAATACAAGGATTCAACGTCACAGCTAAACTGGCTAGTGGAAAATATTTAAATGATCAGTTAATGCAAGCCTTAAAGGGTTAGTTCACCCAAAAATGAAAATTCTGTCAGTATTTACTCACCCTCATGTTGTTCCAACCCCGTAAGACCTTCGTTCATCTTCGCAACACGAATTAAGATATTTTTGATGAAATCTGAGAGCTAGATCACTCCTCCATACTAGCCCATAGGCTTCTTGAGGGATTGAAACTTGCCGGCCTCAAAAAGTTATTAAAGACATCGTTAAAATAGTCCGAGTGACTACAGGGGCTCAATCTTAAGTTTATCAAACGACGAGAACACTTTTGTGCGCAAGAAACAACAAAAATAAGGACTTTATTCCAACTATTCACTTCCTTCTCTCTCTGCGCGAGTCAGGTTACTAGTTTAATAGCGTAAGCTTCTGTTATTATGTCACACGCATCACACACATGACCAGCGTCGGCCAATAGTGAGCTCTACGCTCTACGTTAACTGACTAGCGGCCCGTAGAGAAAGAAGTGAATAGTTGAAATAAAGTCCTTATTTTTGTTTGTTTTTGCACTCAAAAAGTGTTCTCGTCGTTTGATAAACTTAAGGTTGAGCCACTGTAGTCACTCGGACTATTTTAACGATGTCTTTAATAACTTTTCGAGGCCGGCACGTTTCAATTCATCAAGAAGCCTATGGACTAGTATGCAGGAGTGATCCAGCTCTCAAATTTCGTCAAAAATATCTTAATTTGTGTTGCGAAGATGAAAGAAGGTCTTACAGGGTTGGAACAACATGAGGGAGAGTAAATACTGACAGAGTTTTCATTTTTGGGTGAACTATCCCTTTAAGGTGAGGTCACATATCGGAATTTTAGCTCAATTGTGCAGTAAAACTAGCCTGGTTCAACCAGACTCTAGTACATTTCATTTGCACATAGAGTCTGGCCTCTCTCCATTGGGAAACGTTTACTTCCTTGTAGGCGGGTTCTCTGTTAAAGTTCAAAACTATTGGATCTGCCCAGAGTCACTCACGATCTGCCATAGCCAATCGCTAATGTGTGGCCGTGAGTGACGTATGTCACGCGCCGAAATGGCTGGAACAAGTCCGAATGATCAGAGGATTATGTTTACAATAGGATTTCAGTCAACGAGAGCTGCAGGTTTTGTTAATCTAGGAACAATTATTAATTCGAAATGTGTATTTGACACGAAGGACAGTGATGTATTCATTAAAATGTCGAAGCTGTGTCTAATCACGCCGCTGTGGTCGTTTTCTGATCTGCCGCAAATGCTGTACAGTGAATGATCTATCTCTATCTGCAGATGTGTAATAAACAACTTTTCATATTACGTCTTATTGTTTCTTAATTATCTTAATTGTAGTCTTCAAAGTATGTGTTTGTACATTTTTATATGGCATTTAGTTTTTTTTTTTATTAAAACAAATTATTCATTGCCATCTAAAACTGAAAATCAAATGATGGTCACAATTAAAATCACAACCAATTTGTATGATTTACAACATGTAAAACTGACACACCAACCTCCTGCACGAGTGCACAAAGGGGCTCAAAGTGTTCTATTCATCACAAGAATCAGTGAACAGTGAATCTACAGTTGGGAATATGAGCGACTGACATGACTCCTGAGCGGATCTTCAACAATAGTTTAGCAGCCAGGACTCGGGGCTTCCGAACACCGCGAACACCAGGCTAAACCGTCCGTCCAAAATGTCACGGTCATCGTGCACGAACTGCCCAGCACAAACTTCCAAACTTTCTGCCTCCTTCACTTGGTCCTCCGTTGTGCAACAAGAGGTGAGACGACAACAATCCGGCTTTAAATTCTGTATATTCGGCAGTTTCTTTTCCAACAACGGACCGAATAGCTTTTCTCACGTCTTTCTCCGCTGCCATTACTGAACTCAAACTGACGCGCTTACATCAACATCATCTTTCTCAGCCACTCCCTCTATTCGCTGATTGGTCCTACAAAAAATTGATTTCTGGAAACCTAAGGATATACAGCAGTCCCAGACGTAGTACTGAAGGAAAATGAAATTGAGCGGAAGTGCGTAGGAGGGCGCAGCCAGGCTACAGTCAAACCGGTCCACTGTCAATATTGTAGCGATGTATGAAGCCCAGCTCGCACAAAAGTCAATTCCAAACTAGGGATGTCCCGATACCACTTTTTCACTTCCGATACCGATACCGATGCCGCACCTTTGGCTTTTGCCGATACCGATATTAGTCCGATATTTTTTTTTTTTCGTGGTCCGACGTGCCGTATACGGCCCACAGGGTGGTTTATAGGTTTAATTTTGTGAAAGACAAAACAAAACAAACACAAAAGTAAACATAATACATATCTTTGGAAAGCTGAGAAACTCGTGATTCGAACGACGTAAACCATTTTAAGATACAATCAACACAGCGGGCACAATCTGTCTCTTTGTCAGACCACCAACAGCCAAAACAAACCAACACAAACTGGAAGAAACTCACCAATTAGCCATCTGTTAGTCCACATTCCAACAAAAATGGTTTGGTTTCACTGTAAAGCGTCCATACAATCCAATTTGAAGAAGTTTTTAGTCCAAAACAATTGTATATATGAATAAACATCCATGGAATGTAAATAGTAGCATTTCGCGTTAGCCGACAGCGCTATCACAACTTCGACGCACTAATGCTACGTTCACACCGGACGCGAATAGGGCGTCAGGCGCGAATGATTTCAATGTTAAGTCAATGCAAGAAAAATTCCTGCGGCGCTAATGAGGCGTGGAGCGCGGCGCGGGAGACGCGAATACGCCTCATTCGCGCGTCAAGTTGGCGCGAATTGAGCGTTGTGCATTCACGCGTTTGACGCGAATTCGCGTCTGCCGCCCGAGTTGAAAAATCTGAACTTTGGCGTGAATTCGCGCCGCGTTAACCAATCAGGAGCCTAGCTGCTTGCTCACGTGGTGAAGTGTCTGGATGCTTCAATAAATTATTTTGTTAATATGACTAAATGCATGGTGGGATTATGCACAACAAAGCAAATGTTTCATCACTTAAAACATTATTTCTATATGGAGACATGTTCATTTTGTATTGAATGTTATTCATTCCATATCTAGAAATAGTATTATGTTGTAAAGACAATCAACATATGTGCATAAATTCGTGTCTGGACGTGAGAGAGAGAAAAAAAAAAATCACAGGACAGGGTAATAACTTTTGAAGGCTGGCTCTATTTATTATCAAAACAAAAATAAATGACAGCTAGATTAGATGGATGAGGGGCCGGGCGAGGGTGATCCTCGCTCAGATGCGGGACAACAGGTCATCAAACTGGGCGCGTGACAGGCGGAAGTACCGCTGACAGCAGCCGTCATCCAGCGCAGCTCCTGGAGCGAGCAAATGGTGAAACTCGCCAAACGGTTCGGCTCCGAAGGGTCCGGTGGACACAAATATACGGCGACGATGATCCCCACGCCGCTGTTCTGCTATCCAGAGTAAATGCAGAGCGGTAACTCTCCTGATGAATGCTCGGTCGACATAAAAACAATGACCGCCAACGGATTTTGATTCTGACGCGCGTAAATTTCGCTTCAAACTTTACGCGCGCCAGTTTCGCTCTTGACACGCGAATTAACACTAGTGGTCAAGCGTCAAACTAAACGCGTCAGGCGCGAATTCGCGTCCGGTGTGAACGTAGCACAACACTATTGATCCGTCTAACTTCAGTTGAAACGTAAACATTGGAGAAAAAAGAATGTCAAAATGGCCGCTGACCCATGAACTATTGATTGACAGGTCATTTTACCCAATCGGCGAGTGTTAGGGGTGTCTTCTAAACTCCAACAGCCAACGAGCGTGCCTGGTGAAGGTACCTACCTCTCTTTGAGTGACAGTTTATCTATCCAGTTGCAATAGAGAATGAAATGACGCTATTTTCTGATAGCCAATGAATTTCTGAAAAGACTGAAATGCAGCTTTTGTGGGTGGAATCATCCGACTACATTAGAAGAATCCGTGCGCAAAGCGAGATTCTCTGCGCGCGTGTGCGTAAACACAACAATCATCACGTGACAGGCTGCGCCGCTAAACTGGATATCGCTCATATTTTTTTCTCCCCTCCGATCTCCGATCTAGCGTTCTGGGCCGGTATCGGCGCGATACCGATGCCGTGGATCGGATCGGGACATCCCTATTCCAAACCAAGATAATTTTGCCAAATTGAGAGATCAACTTCTTTCACTCTAAAGGCATTGATATACCGTAAGCAAAATCGAAGAACGAACATGTGTGACATCATTTTAAACAAAATACGGCCAAAACAAAGTTTGTTTTGTGTTTGTTGTGGGACTTCGGGGGGGTGTGTCCCATACAACACCGTAACTCGCTCCTTCTCTACCGCAGTTCGATGCATCGCTGAAGAAATCAGCTAGCGAGTCACGACTGTTTCCCCAAACCGTACTGTCGCCAATTTACCTTTGGCTAAGCCCCGCCCCGCTTAGTTACTGTTGCTACATCCGTCAAACTTCATCTGGGCTCTGGTTTGGTATCAACATGGCTTGTGCTGTGACAGCTCTTCCTGCTGAAATGTTATCAAACTTTTATAAAGCAGAATATAAGTGTCCGATAGAGGGGGCTGCAATATGCGTTCGAAGGCTATATTTCTCAGTAACTGCCCCAGCTGTAGAAAGACTGTTTGAAGCTAAAGCTAAATATGTGAATGGTCATATTGTAGCTCTGCGACGACTCACCTGTCTCCTTTGGCTCTGCGTTTCGGGACGCTCTTGCCTTTGGGTCTCCTCTCACTGCCCACACAGTGAGCTCCTCCGGGACCCGTCACCCGCAGAGACTCGAGACCCTTGGAGGACTTCTTGAACGTGAACTCGACCGCCTCGCCCTCCTTCAGACTGCGGAAACCCTCCATGTGCAGTTTACTCTGAGAAAAGCAGCAACACATTCTCATCAATGGCCCTACACCAAAACCGCAATTCATTTAGAAACTGAATTCATTACATGCAGAAGGCAAGGAAACAGATGAAAATGCGAAACGTCTGGTTTGAGCGTCAACGTCTGGTAACATGTTTGTGTTAATGTAGAGGACACTATTCAATGACAAAGGCCCATGAGGTCAGGGGGCGGAGATTAGGGGTAGGATTAGGGGTGGGGTTAGGGATCAGGGCAGAGATGGGTAGGATTGGGGGTGGGGTTAGGGATCAGGGGCCGGAGAGGGGTGGGATTAGGGGTGGGGTTAGTGATCGGGGCGGAGATGGGTAGTATTATGGGTGGGTTAGGGATCAGGGGCCGGAGATGGGTAGGATTAGGGGTGGGATTAGGGATCAGGGGGCGGAGATGAATAGGATTAGGGGTGCGGTTAGGGATCAGGGGCCAAAGATGGGTAGGATTTGGGGTGGGGTTAGGGATTGGGGGGGAGATGGGTAGTATTAGGGGTGGGTTTAGGTATCAGGGGCCGGGGAGGGGTAGGATTAGGGGGGGGTTAGTGATCGGGGAGGAGATGGGTAGGATTAGGGATGGGGTTAGGGATCAGGGGCCGGAGATGGGTAGGATTAGGGGTGGGGTTAGGGATTGGGGCGGAGATGGGTAGGATTAGGGGTGGGGTTAGGGATCAGGGGCGGGGAGGGGTAGGATTAGGGGTGGGGTTAGTGATCGGGGAGGAGATGGGTAGGATTAGGGGTGGGGTTAGGGATCAGGGGCCGGGGAGGGGTAGGATTAGGGGTGGGGTTAGTGATCGGGGAGGAGATGGGTAGGATTAGGGGTGGGGTTAGGGATCAGGGGCCGGGGAGGGGTAGGATTAGGGGTGGGGTTAGTGATTGGGGAGGAGATGGGTAGGATTAGGGGTGGGGTTACGGATCAGGGGCCGGAGATGGGTAGGACTAGGGGTGGGGTTAGGGATTGGGGCGGAGATGGGTAGGATTAGGGGTGGGGTTAGGGATTGGGGCGGAGATGGGTAGGATTAGGGGTGGGGTTAGGGATTGGGGAGGAGATGGGTAGGATTAGGGGTGGGGTTAAGGATCAGGGGCCGGAGATGGGTAGGATTAGGCGTGGGGTTGGATCTGAATCCAACTCCTCCCCCTGGATTTCGTGATCTGCAGTGAGGACCATATCAATATTTTAGATGACCAATCAAATCGAAGTAGACAGGCAGGGCCGGCTTTGCCGACAGGCGACACAGGCGGCCGCCTGGGGCGCCATCTGCTGGACGAGGCGCAAATTGCAGAATTTAAAAAAAAAAAGTTAATTAAATGTATGTATCGTATTATGAAAGCTGCGCACACGCTGTACACTTTTACTGTGCATTGTCCACACACTGCTTGTATTTGTCCATTTCTTTTACAAGATTATACAATCCTAAAAAGTGACTGGCAGCTGTCAAACTCACGCGCGTTGCTCAGCAACCGGGAGTGGCGCGAAAACATCTGACAGCTGGTTTTAGCGCTTTAGTTTCCTCGGTGTGATACGCACGGTTCCGTGCCTTCAGCTCAAAATAGTCCTCGTCGGCTTTGTTTCGACATGTTGACAAGGGGATGCCCGCGTATATTCAAAATGGTTGGCACACGCTGCTTTGTTTACGTTATGTGTATCTGCAGCCGGCCGACAGCGTCGGTTTTCCTTTTTGAATGACGAATATAGACTAATTTATCTGCAGAAATAGACAGTTGGCTCATTGCACGCAGGCGCAGAATGCACATTATAGCTCACAGTCGCCTGTAGATCTCTCGGTGTGTTCAAGTCATGGTGCAAGTGCAGCTTTTTACCCCGACGAGAGAGGACGAAAGGCGACAACACAGTCGGCTTTCATCAGCGCTAGTTCGTCGGCGTTATATTAACCTTCAAATGGTCTTCGTTTCCTGTTTACACTTCTGGGCTTCGGGGTCTATACGACCGCAACAATCGATTGAGTAATTCTACAAAAAATATAAATTTTTAATCATACAAATATTTTATATATATATATTGTTTACTTCTCATCTATTCATTAATGCTGTGTTTTTGGAGATATAAAGTACTTTTGTATCCATATACCACACAATTCCTCAACTACATTAGCTTGCATATGAATTTTTTTTTTTAATGATACATTGCCTTTATTTCTGTGTAAAAATTTTCAGATTTATGCTGGATTTTTTTTTGACACATGAAGAAAATATTTGTATTTTTTTTGGGGGGGGGGGGGGGGGGGGGTTGAGGGCACTCTCGCCTTAGGCACCAAATAACCTAGGGCCGGCCCTGTAGACAGGCCTTATGTTCACAAAAGCCACTGATTCTAGCACAACCCGACGCTTCTGTAAATGGTCATACATTGCGATAAAATGTATAGCTAAACTAAACATTTCATATTTGACAGCAGTTTTAGGATAGAGATGGCAAACTAGTAATAGACTTCTGTCTAATTTGCCATTTCCTGAATTGAAATAAAGCCTATATGTAATGTAATATTAGTAACTGTCAATGTGAGGGGACAAGAAACATGAAGGAAGCTGTGTTCATCATATTAGGCATCAGATTAATAATGAACATGTACGTATTGTAAATTCATTTTATAAACTTCTTTAGCTATAGTGTTCAGTAAATTAACCTGTCTAAGAAAATGATTCATAAAACATATAAATGTCAGTTGACTCTGTTTACTTCTTATTTCTTCACTGACAGACAAAACATGAAAAGACAATCAGTCAGAGCTCGGCTTTAGTAGGGGAAGAGATATGGAAGGATAATGAGACTGAGACTTAAAATGGAAATTAAAATGGAAATTAGGAGAGCAGGTATTGACAAATAATCTACTGTGCACTGACGTGGTTTTAAAGCTATTTCTTATCCATTTACTTTGTCTTTTAAACGTCTTGAAATGCACATGTAAAAAATCAACCTTATTTTAGGGGAGCTCCCGGCCCGAACCCCCCTAACTAGCTCAAATTTGGGACGGCAGTGATTTTAAAACGGCCCTGTGCGCATCTGTATGTGTGATTGTGTGATGTGTATTCTTATGGGATATGAAAGAGAAATCGACTGACTTGTGTGTGAAAAACCCGCGCTTCACCATCCCCCGACCCAGGTTACAGCATTCCTGATACACACACACACATCCCCCCACAGCACACACACACATCTCACTCCCTGATCGCTGGGAAGGATGCTGTTGCAGGGGTCCACAAAAATTCTTCAAATGGTTGCTTGGCTTGTGGCCGAACATTCACTGTTATGAATGAGCGTTTCGCAAAGAGAAAATGTAGTACCTGAACTAATTATTTTTAAAAATTCAGATTTTAATGTTTTAATGTTTTTAATACGCTTGAAGTCAAACCATGTGTAAATTCATAAGTCGACAGCATTGCTGAGTATTTTCACCTTAAAACTGCAGTGAACCAAAGACCAAAAACACGCTTTGAAATCGCTGGTGTTTCTGACGTCACAAACGACCTTGTAACCAATCAGATCAACGTGTGATCGTCAACCAGTGGATCTCTGAGCTGAGTGAGTGAGTGGAGGCGGGGATCATTTGCATATTCATAGAACCGCGTATACTAAATGAGGCGAGACGACATCGTCATAATTGGTGAGCATTTTGTTTGGCTTGATGCTAATATGTGCTACTGCTAGCAAATAGCTAGCTACAATCTATCAATTTAATTATGCGTCACTAAAGTAAATGAAATATCAATGGATGAATGAATATAGACATTACCTGAATCATGCCAGGAAGCCTTTAAAAATTCACGTTGAGACTACTTAAATTGGGTCGCTTAAAATTACTTAATTCCAAAATGTTGAAGTTACAAGAACAAATTATGTTTGTTTAACGTAACCCAGTTATGTGGAACCTGTTGACTAAAAAAAAACATAATTAAAGCCAACGTATCATTTTTTTGAGTGTAGTATTACAGACCTCTTATCGACGTGATGTAAACGGCCCCGCGAGGATCTGTAAGTGTTTGTTTTGAGGAAACATTGCTGGTTTACAACTATGTTGTGGCAGATGCGGTGTTCCCTTTCAAGTACGTCCATTGTGTGTGGGTCAAAGTGACCGTTAACGTATTTCCCTAGACACGTGTGACCCCCAACCCCCAGTTTCCCTTCCTCCCACTGACATCTCACTGACAAGCCCTTCCCACAGTAAAACCCTAAGGAGAGAGCGTGTCCACTAGATCTTTACTGGACATGATGATCCATTAGGGGATGGAGAAATCACAAGCAAGCAGGTTTTGACATGATAGAGGCAAAACGCCACAGATATAGAAAAGATCTGTCACGCTCTTCTTCTTTTGTTTGCGCTCATAAAGACCAGCAGCGGAGTTAATGTTGTGTAGCGGAGGCCAAACGTGTGTGTAGCCATCAGTGTCGCTTAGCTGGGCTTTAAAGAAGTAGTTCACTTTTAAAAAAACTTTTGCTGATAATTTACTCACCCCCATGTCATCCAAGATGTCCATGTCTTTCTTTCTTCAGTCGAAAAGAAATTAAAGTTTTTGATGAAAACATTCCAGGATTTTCTCCATATAATGGACTTCAATGGGGTCCAAACGGTTCAAGGTCCAAATGAGAGTTTCAGTGCAGCTTCAAAGGTCTTTAAACGATTCCAGACGATGAATAAGGGTCTTATCAAGCGAAACGAGCGGTCGTTTAAAAAATAAATAACAAAATTTAAGTTTTATAAGCACAAATGCCCGCCTTGCTCTGTTCTGTGATGCGCGTTCGTGACTCTCCTGTTCGAACTCATTCATCAAAATGAATGAATCTTTTTCGAGTCAAACAAAATGACTCGAAAAAATATCCCGAAAACTGATGGTTTCGCAAGATAAGACCCTTATTCATCGTCTGGTGTCGTTTAAAGCACTTGCACTGAAACTGTCTTTTGGACCTTGAACCGTTTGGACCCCATTGAAGTCCATTATATGGAGAAAATCCTGGAATGTTTTCATCAAAAACCTTAATTTCTTTTAAACTGAAAGAAAGAAAGACATGGACATCTTGGATGAAATGGGGGTGAGTAAATTATCAGCAAAAGTTTTTTTTTTTTAAAGTGAACCAATCTTTTAAAAGACACCTAACATTCAGTAATATTATCAAGTTGACCGCACTGACACTATTGGATTCGAACAAAACTTGAGCTGAATAATGACACTATCGTGTTAGAGCTGCTTGTTTCATAATTGGTGAACTTTCCACCGTTATTGAACTGACTCAACACTGAACTGGCTGAAAAATGCAACTTTGTCTTTTTTAGAGCTGATTTAATGAAGTTTCATTAATTATTCATGTTTATTACTGTGAAGATGCTTTGAAACAATCTGATCTCTGGCATTTAACCATAAAAGGCCTTTAAAATGAAGATGAAGGTCTTAAAAAGCAAAATATACAAGACTATTAAGATATAAGTCAACATATTTTCACAACTAATAGACCAACCAATCTCTGTGTAAATATAATATAATGAGTCCTTTACCCCCCATGTAATTTGGTGCCAAATCTCAGGTGAAAATTGTCATTTTTACCCACTCTACAAAATAGTTGACCACTCAGTCAATATACATGCATTACATTTAATATTTTGACCTTCATCACTATTTATAGTATCAAAAATATTAACAAAATCCTACATTTGAGAAGCTTGGTTGATTTGACATTTATATAAATAAAGGTGACTCGACCCGTTGGGGTCAGTTCCTACTTTGTCCATGTTTAATGGACATTTCTAATGAGTTTATACTCTGTGAAACAAATATCGAAATACACATTTAACCTCAATTTTGCACATTAAGTTGGCTCTTGTGTCAGTTTTGGCCATTGAAAAGCCTTGACAGATCTTCAGTTTGCTCACTGACAGGCATGTCCAATACTTCTCTTAATCTGCTGTTCACGGGGACTGTGATGTGCCGAATAATACTAAATGAAGTCTGTATGAAGTCCCAGCAGCTCACACAAAAGGGGCTCCTAAATGTTTCTCCGCATATCTGTGGCTAATGACTTTATGACAGGAAACAAGATTAAAGGGGTCATCCTTGAAAGTGCTCTTGCTGACAGGCCAGACTATTGTTTTAAGACATGCCACTTACATGGGAAATACTAACCATACCAAAGCAGAAGTTCAAATACTTTGGACAGTGAATCTGTTTGGACAATCAGGAGTGATTGGATTTGCCATTTAAGAGCAAGACTAAGCCATTTTAGATGTAATACAACACCCATTGAAATAGAGTCCTGCAGGGACGACGTTTATTTTTTGAGGCCAAAGCCCAGAAAAGAAACACATTTTACCACTTCCGCTTTTTGTTGAGGGAACATTATCATTGAGACCTACTGTAAACATAATGCTGATTCAAAACTGTCCATATGTTTCTTAGCACTTACCTGATGGACAAACACGTCAACTGGAGTTTCTAAAGGCACGCCGTCTCGTCTGGTCATAGATAAGAATCCAAAACCCATCCGAACATTGAACCACTTGCATACACCCACACCATGGTAGGACTGAGGGTCTTCCTCGGCGGCCTGCCCCTCCTCCTCCTCGGTTTTCGTACACCCTCCTGCAAAACCATTTACATTTACCATCAGAGGGGAAATAATGCATGCGGGCGTGAGTGTGTGCGTGTGAAATGTCAAAATACCAATATAAGAAAATTAGTATAAAACAATTGCCCAAAGTGACCTAGAAACCATCAGTGGTTGTATTTAAAAAAAAAAAAAAAAGACAAATTATTATACTTGGATTAAGCCAGGATTAGGCCTTTGTTCAATTAGGGCATTTCAGCAGCTTTTATAAACGTGCATTTTGAGTCAAAACATTGGCATGTGACATATTTTAAGATTGCTTTCAGTTGAAACAGCTCAAACATCCATTTTAGTCCTGGTCATATTTGCATGTTTACGTTAAACTGTAGCATGAAACACATTTTTATTTAAGCAGAATAACAATGTAGTGTTATTATTACTATTTATATATAAATATATTCTCATATTTTTATTTGACAAAATAATTTACATTAGAACATGCTGACGTTTTATAGAGCAGAAAGCTGGAAATAATTAGTAGTATGGCAAGCTGTTATGACTTTTCTTCATTCCCAGGATATGAATTTTTGATACAATTAAATTCTTCACATCTGTAATTGTATTTTCACTAGTTAAAAGTCACCATAAGCTGCCATTCAAATTCAAGTGTTGACTAGTGGAAATTACATACAATTTCTTACAAATAAAAATCAAATTTTTTGATACCAAGGTTAATCGTGCAAATGTCTATTATTGATATCAACAATTGAATTTTTCACTGTTGATATCAATAATTTGACTGTCATTAGTTTAAAATGTTACTTTCTGATATCATGAATGTGATTGTTACTAAGAAAGCCATTTTAAATATCTGAGTTTACTTGATTTACCTGAACTACATTTACAGATATCACAAATTAACATTTCACCTAGTGAAAATTGAGTTCTTGATATTATTTTTGTTTACAAGTAGGCAAAGGACGTAATTGTTGATATATTACTGGTTTATATCAATTTAAATATCTATTACTGTAGTAATGCCCTCTTGGTCTCACTGGCAACACATGCTGGCTCTTCGGTTGAGGAGACTTTCCAAATGTGCGCTAACACGAAGAAAACACTCCTGTCCTGTTCGCTAGTTCACCTGGATAGTCCTGTTGTAAACCTGAACCCATGGTGAGCGGAATTAAAGCCTTCCCTTCTGCGACCAGCACAGGCCTTAAACCTTCCTCGAGTCTCATTAAAACACTCTCTCGCAACTCAAGAAGAAACGGGAGCAAAACAAAGAGGAGCTCCACGATAACCTCACTTACACACGAGTCCTGCACGAGGGTTACACGGAAACATGAAAGACAATGCAGGGCCCCCAGCCCCCCACGGCCCCTGAACGAGCGACACCTTGATGAAGAGGGCCAGAACCTCGAAATTAAAATGCCATACCCTCTGCCATGGGCTCCACTCTGTGCCTGTTGAGTTCGGGATGTTTGCGTTAAATCTCGTTTCTCCAGGTGATCTCTCAGCATCGGTCACTGCTCTGGACTGATGCTTCTCATGCTCGAACCTCTCTCTCTCTCTCTTTCTCTCTCTCTCTCTCTCTCTCTCTCTCTCTCTCTCTCTCTCTCTCTCTCTCTCTCTCTCTCTCTCTCTTTCTCTTCTCTCTCTCTCAGTTTCGGTCAAGTCCACGTGATTCCCAATCACTCTCCCCTCCAGGATGACCAACACATTCCTCAATGGATACCCCCCACCCCCCGGCCCCCCCACACACAGTCCATAGCAGACCAATCACACGGCCCCCAACTCTTCCACACATTGGTGACCACAACAACCCAACATTAGATGGTGTTAGAAAAGGTTTAGCCGATTATGCGTACACTCTAAAAATGCTGGGTTGTTTTAACCCAATTTTGGGTCAAATATGGACAACCTCAAACATTGGGTTAAATTTTAAAAATATGACCCAATGGCTAGGGTTTGTCCATATTTGACCCAAAATTGAGTTAAAACAACCCAGCATTTTTTAGAGTGTAGCCTAATAAGCCGACATGCATGTGGTTAAACGCGTTTTCCTTTAATCGGATATAAGCATTAAACCGATCGCCACAGCTCTTTTTTTGTGCCTTTTTTAAACACTATTACTTGACCCAAGAAATTATTAAAAAAATGTTTTCTCATTAAAAAAATTGCATGAGAGAGGATATGAGTCCGTAAGACACTTTTATAGGCTAAGCTAATTTAAACGTGAATAATCGGTGTGCATTTAAACGTGATGCACTGGCAGGATCAAATTTTGCATCGTCTTTCTTTGGATACTGGCTAATTTGTCATAACGAGATATTTTTTTTAATAATTCTTAACAGTGTGTTTGTTTCATTTACTTGATTTTTTGAGATGTTTCTAAATGAAATGTCTCAACATGTTCAAAAAGACATGATCATTGACCGTGGTTTGAAGGATTGCATCGTCGAAGCATTAGCCTAAATTATCTCACGGACAAAAAAAAAAAAAAAATGTCCGAGATGAATTAGGCTACAACTAATTTTAATGTCCAAACATTCAAAAGATTCAGAGGATTCATGTGCGCCACTTTACAAAATCATCGTGTTTACAACAAATGTAGCCTTTAACATTAAAATAAGCTATTCGTAAATATTCTCAATTGTTTAAAAACAACAGCATTATGGAATAAAATGTGCAAATTATGAAATGTTGCATAAAATAATTTTAATTAATTGTTGTTCCGTCGTGCACGCGCAGAACAAACATATAGGCTACTGTCATCCACCGACCTTATTTATTCAATAGTATGATATCACACAGTAGGCTATTATTGATCAGTAGTATAAAGATCATCACAATGAATTTGTGATCAGAATAAATATGGCTAATCGATCTTTTGATTTTGATTAATCTTTCGTTCTTTATGAAAAATGATGAAGATGATGACTGAAATAAAAGAAGTAGCCTAAACTAAAATCTCCTTTAACGCTTTATAGGCTATATGAGCGTTAACTGGTTTATTCAAACTAAAAATATATTTAATATTTAACTAGGCCTATAACCTATAATCATTTAAACTAGGCTATTTTTGGGTTAAATCAGATTTTTAAGGAAGCCTTACAATTTAAGTGTATCACTTTTTACAGTGCGATTATTACAATAGGCCTAACAATCAATCGAAACTAAAAATAGCGTGATTTGTCCAGGCATCGGGTTGTTAAATAATTGCGCAAAGTTATATAGGCCTAGGCTATATCCAGATGTTAGTCGTTATATCCGTTATTAAAACTCGTTTGCTAATATACTAGCTTTTTGCTAATTGAATAAATATGAGATCTGCCATATAACGGGTGTTTGAGTGAGTGTCCAGCTCCAGCTAACACATTTCACCAGCAGATGAAGAAGTCCTTCTGATCAGAGATGCAGGAACAGAAGCACAGCTGTCCTCCGACAAACAATCGATAATCAAACAAGAAGCCAATGATCAATGCGCTGTTGCTATGGTGATGCATCAACATATCTATCAATATCAATACCCCTAATTAAGTTGTTTTTTTAAGCCGATTTACTGATCTAAACTTCTTCTGAGGGAAACTTTAGGCTCGGCTATATCTCCTCCTGGAGCTTCAGACTCTGAGATGAGCTTTATCTTCTCGAACTGGGTTTCCTAAAAATGACGGTCAAAACTGACTCTAAACTCATAAACTCATCCGTGAACTCAAACTCTAAACTCATAATATATCCATCTCTCTCTCTCTCTCAATTTAATTCAGTTCAATTTTCAGTTCAATTCATTTATTTATTGGCATGACTGTAGGCTATATATTACAATATGAGCTTGGAATAGAATTATAAAGACGTCAAAATACTCAACATAATACATTTAAATGTACAAATTAAATGAATTGTACAAGTGTAACAGATTAGAATCTCTCGCTCTCTACCTTGTATCACTCACACAATAGTATTTAATTTTACATGATAAAATAGTAGCAGTTTCTAAGATAATATTCACATGCTATTTCAGAGCTAAAACCATGATTCAGACAAACTAATTTTAGAGAAGCATTTTTTGATAAATATTTTTTTTGTTGTTGCAACTTTAAGCCTTTATGTAGCCTATAACATAATAGTATTCATAGTATGTTGTGCATTTTGTAGATAAAATAAATTGAATTATAATATTGGCAGATTCCTTGTATGACATTGGTTGTATGTATTTTGTCTGTGTTTTAATGCATGACACTTTCTAACAGTGAATAACAATGAAATGATGCATTTCCACACAGGATGAAACTGGACATGATTAGACTATATATAATCCAGGGTTTCTACAGGTTTATGAAGGATCATTTAAGACTTTATTAATGGAGCACAATACGATCTCTAAGTGTAAATGTCTTGGGAGAAATATTAGCAACACTTCAGTGTGTGAAAGTACCACTTCCAATAGATATCCATTACTTTCTTAATTCATTTAAAAAATAGAAAATAGTTCTAATAGCTCTCCTCTCAACCATCAAACAAATCTTCCTCAATATTTTTGCACCGCATTTTCCAGGTCAAATAAAGATTTTTAAATGAAGATGCATTTACTGGAGATACCCAATTACATAAATGTATCATTACATATCATTATATGAAGTCTATGTTTATCTAAGCTGCTGAAATGTCCTAATTGAAAGAAGGTATAATCCCGGTTTAATCTAATCTCTGTCTGTGAAACCAGCCCTAATAAGACTTTCTGGTCTGATTTCATTTTGTGTACGGGTGAAATGAGACTTCTTTTTAATCAGTCGAGGTCTGTGTTATGCACTTCTGTCATGGTGAGATGTGATGCCAAAAACAGACACAAACACAGCTCAAACCTGTATTACACACTTATGTATTGTCCTAACTGATTTATATAATAGTTCTAGATCTATTACTAATGTCATGCCTATAATCTTTGTGCCAGAAACCCAACCCTTCATAATCTTAGCTAATATTATTAGACCGTAAAGAATTATTAATTAGCTTTTGATTCTCCTTTGGTTCTTACTGTTAACACCAAAACACCTTACTGTAAAATAATATTGTTGGTTTAACTTAAAAAACATTTTTTAAGTTCATTGAAATGGAAAAATTTAGTTAATACAATGAAGGAGATTGATTTAATCAGCAGAAACTCAAAATATTACGTTATCTGAACTACATAAATTATCTAAGTTGATTTGACAAAAGAAAAAATTTTGTGATTACAAATCATGAAAATATTTTTTACAGTGGGTGATTATTAGTGATCTTAGTGAACTGTTTTAGTCATTGTTTTTGAGACTTTAAACAGGTCCACATGCATTACCAGTGCAGCCGTGACCGTTTTCATGAATAATCTCATTATATATATACATACACTGTTAGACCTTACCAGGTTTTTTACAGTAAAATACTGGCAACACTGTTGCCAGTAATTTACTGTAAAAATGCAGTAAAACTCAAGTTAACTAAAAAATACAACTTATTAGTTTTAGTGCATTTTTACAACACTGTTGCCAGTAATTTACTGTAAAAATGCACTAAAACTCAAGTTAACAAAAAAATACAACTTATTAGTTTTAGTGCATTTTTACAACACTGTTGCCAGTAATTTACTGTAAAAATGCACTAAAACTCAAGTTAACTAAAAAAACACAACTTATTCGTTTTAGTGCATTTTTACAACACTGTTGCCAGTAATTTACTGTAAAAATGCACTAAAACTCAAGTTAACTTAAAAAACACAACTTATTCGTTTTAGTGCATTTTTACAACACTGTTGCCAGTAATTTACTGTAAAAATGCACTAAAACTCAAGTTAACAAAAAAATACAACTTATTAGTTTTAGTGCATTTTTACAACACTGTTGCCAGTAATTTACTGTAAAAATGCACTAAAACTCAAGTTAACAAAAAAATACAACTTATTAGTTTTAGTGCATTTTTACAACACTGTTGCCAGTAATTTACTGTAAAAATGCACTAAAACTCAAGTTAACTAAAAAAATACAACTTATTAGTTTTAGTGCATTTTTACAACACTGTTGCCAGTAATTTACTGTAAAAATGCACTAAAACTCAAGTTAACTAAAAAAACACAACTTATTCGTTTTAGTGCATTTTTACAACACTGTTGCCAGTAATTTACTGTAAAAATGCACTAAAACTCAAGTTAACTAAAAAAACACAACTTATTCGTTTTAGTGCATTTTTACAACACTGTTGCCAGTAATTTACTGTAAAAATGCACTAAAACTCAAGTTAACAAAAAAATACAACTTATTAGTTTTAGTGCATTTTTACAACACTGTTGCCAGTAATTTACTGTAAAAATGCACTAAAACTCAAGTTAACTAAAAAAACACAACTTATTCGTTTTAGTGCATTTTTACAACACTGTTGCCAGTAATTTACTGTAAAAATGCAGTAAAACTCAAGTTAACTAAAAAATACAACTTATTAGTTTTAGTGCATTTTTACAACACTGTTGCCAGTAATTTACTGTAAAAATGCACTAAAACTCAAGTTAACTAAAAAAATACAACTTATTA